GGGGGTGGGAGGGTTGGGGAGGGGGTGCCGTGGGGGGTGGAGGGGGCCGTTGCAGGGGGTGGGCTGGGGATGGTGGGGGCTGGGGGCTGGGGGGTGGGTTTGGGGCCTCCTTTTACCTTTGCTCGCACTGGTGCCCAGACCTGGGTTCATCGTGAAAAAGTCATTCTTTGGACAAGCATTCATAGGCCGTTCGTTGTGGACAGAGCCCCCTCCTGGCTGGGACTGTCCCCCGGCCACTCAGGGCATCATGGACGGGGCATCTCCCCCACCCGCACCTTTGCCACCTGCCAGGGCGACCACCTGGACGGGGCCCGCTGCCGCTGGGGCTGGAGCAGCGTGGAGAGGCTTCCCCTCTCTCTGGGGGGAGCTTCTGTTTGAGACTTCATGGATAGTTTGCGCTGCGTGTGTACTCTGTCATGAGGCTTTAACAATACAATTACTAAGAGTCTCAGAGCCAGGAAATGGAAACGGTCCAGAGACTTGAGTAACACCACCAGGCTCCCGCTGTCCTGCCTGAGCATCAGGCCGTCAGAGAAGCAGTGAGTTTGTCCATCAAGTATTGATCGCGCGCACCCTGTGTCCCGGGCCCTGTGCCCGGCCCAGCGACAAAACAAAAACCACAGGTCTCAGGCGGCCAGGTGGTGAGGAGAGGGACAAAGAGTGGAGGCCGGGTGACGTCCTGCCCCGCTGAGGGAGGGCTGTGTGCACAGAGGCAGAGCTAGGCCTGCCTGCCCGCGCCAGCGAGCCGGCTCGTGTCAGTTAGCAGACGTGCGTGACAGCAGCCACACAATCGGGCTTCAGCAACACGCATGGATGGGGCGCTGAGGCTCCCAAATCTGGGTGTGGCTTTTCTCAGGCCTTTCTCTTAGGGTCCCACACGGGCTGCAGTCAGGATATTGGCTAGGGCTGGGGGCTCATCTGAGGCTCGGGTGGGGAGTGAGGATGACAAGAGTTTATGCCTCCCAGGGTTGTGGGAGGATCAATCAGGTCGTATTTGGAAGTGCCACAGACAAGAGCGTGCCCTGCATGGGCTTGAGACAGGATGGCAGCCCCATAGCAGCAGCGCCTGAGTACCCTGCATGCAGTGGTGCCCTAGACACCTGGGTCCTCCAGACATGGGGACACTGGCCCATGCCCTGACATCTGCCGGCCCCCCCTCCCGCAGAAGCTGCCCCGAGTTCGAGAGCACCGAGGGCCCCTGGTCCATCTGCGGGGCCACCCACCCCAGTGGCAGCCGGTCTTCTGTGTCCTGCGTGGGGACGGCCGCCTGGAGTGGTTCAGCCATAGAGAGGTGAGTGAGTGGCCTGTGTTCCTTTGGCCTCCAGCCTCTGCATCCTGCCCTCTCCATCTTGAGTTTGCGGTCCAGCTCCAAGCATAGCCCCCTCTGCTCTTCAGTCATCCAGGATGAATCAAGCACCCCTGTGTACTTGGCCCAGGGCTGGGGACCACCTCCTGCTGTGCTGGGTGGGTAAACTGAGGCCCAGGCCAGGAGTAGGGACTCACTGGTGGTCAGCAGTGGAGCTGAGGCTGAAACCACACGAGGCCGTTGCGAGTCACGCCTGTGCCCTGCTTCCAGGCTGGGGGACTCCTGCAGGCCATTTGTCTCCCTGGGACTCAGTTTCCACCTCTGTGAAAGGGGGGATGACAGTCCACACAACATGGGGCTGTGAGGATTCGGTGAGAGAATCTTCCTGCAGCGCACAGCACAGCAGATGCCCCCCCCCCGCCCCCCACCCGGCAGGACGGGGGACAAGAAGAGGGAGGGAGGACGGCAGCGGTGGGCGGGTGCAGCTAACCCCAGGCCTCCCCCTCGTCCCACGTTTGGGACATGGAAGCCACAGTTCAGGCCTGTCCCAAGCTGCTTCTTTGAATGCCTTCTGTAGGAATATGAGGACGGGGGTCGTCCTCTGGGCTCCACAGCCCTGACCGGGTACACAGTCCTGACTTGTCAGCGTGAATACCTCCGCCTGTTGGACACTCTCTGCCCAGACGCCTCAGGTAAGGCTCCCAGGGACCTTGAGCAGGTCCGTCGACTTCAGCACTGCCGGCAGTTGGGGCTGGACCATTCTTCTCAGTGGGGGCCCCTGCGCATTGCGGGATGTGAGCAGCATCCCCGGCCTCCATCCACTTGATGTCAGGAGCTCCCCCCGCCCAAGTATGATGACCAAAAGTGTCCCCAGACGTGGCCAAGCGTCCCACGGAGGGCAGAGTGGCCTCTGGGTGAGCACTCCGGCTCTAGGAAGGGAGACAGCCGCTCTCACCAGAAAGAGAGAAGCTAGGTCACCGGGCCAGAGTCAGAGGAGCAAAGAGCAAAACAGTGAAACCCGGTGTGAGCAAGCATCTGGGGGCACCAGTGCTAGGATGGCGGCGCAGGTCTGCCGCAGGGGGTCGTGTTCTGCCCAGCGTTTCCAGGAGGGTTCCCCCCTCATTACCACAGTGGCGCCCAGGAACAGGGTCCGGAGCAGCGTTACTGGGCCAGTGCCAGGCCCGGGTTATCTCATCGAGTCTGCCAGCAGGCAGCCCCGCCGCTAACCGCCCCATTTCACAGACGGGGATACTGAGGCTGAGGATTGTCACATAGGAAGGGACAGAAGCCAGAAGTGCACCCTCTGCTTCGCTGTGGAGCCATCTTGTTGCCAAATGACACAAAGGTGTAGCGACAAGGACAGTCTGCAGAACTGTCGATCATGTTGAAAACGTCAGAATCCACCCAAATACCCATCCCGGGGGACTGATTAAGTAAATGATGGCCCAGGCCTTGGAAAGGGGAGTGCAGGCACTGGAGGTGTCCCAGACGTCCGCAGCCGCGAAGGGCCTGTTACAGGCCAGAAAACCCAGCCTGTTACAAAAGGCGCCCGTGCAGCTCTGTACAGATCTAAGACCTGGAGTGATGCCCCCAGAATGGGAGCAGCTGTTCCTGTCTCTGGGGCTGCAGCTGAAGGGCTGGGATTACCAGGGACTCCTGGATCACGGCATCTTCCTACAGGCTGTGTGTATCACGCTGGAAATCAGAACAAAAGACAGGATTTAGGAGACCCCAAATAAATTAACCAAACGTAAATGCCCCCATTCTGTCCTCCTAACAGGTCTAGGTCGTTGGAATCACTTTGAAGCCCAGATGACAGGCAGGAAAAGCAGGGGTCAGGGAGAGGAACCTGTGCCCTAGGCAAAGAGGGAGGAAATGGTTTGGCCGAGTTTGGACCCGGGCCTGGCTGACTCTGGCTCCCATGGCAAGCAGGGCTCAGGTCATATGCCAACTCAGATAGATTGCTGGGGGTGGCCCAGGCGGCTGTGTTCAGGAGGATGCTGAGGCTGTGAACAACTTGGGGGTGGAGTGCTGATGTCTGCCCCGGGCACACCTCCCTGGGCCGAGCTGGAACAAGGATAATGCAACTGCAATAGCGTGGCTCACACTGATGGAGTGACGTCCATGCCAGGGGCTCCTCGAAGCGTTTTGTTTATTTTCTCCTAGTGAATGAGTGATTGTAGAGTGAATGAATGAATGAATGAATGAAGATGTGACCTCCTCTGTCTGCTTTCAGGAGCCCACACACAGGAGGAGGCTGACCCCCTTCTGGAAATGCCCGTTGGCTGCCCTCTGTTCCTGCAGCACCCCTTCCGCCGGCACCTCTGCTTCTCTGCGGCCACAAGGGAGGCACAGCGTGCCTGGAGGCTAGCCCTGCAGGGTGGCATCCGGCTTCGCGGAACAGGTAGGACCCTGGGAGGGCTCCAGGTCTGAGGTCTGATGGCTCTGCCCCTGCTGGCTGGGGGACCCTTTCCAAGCCTCAGTTTCTTTATTTATAAAATGGATAGTTGGGGGAGACAAAGGGGACAACAGGCAGTTATGAGTGGCCAAGGCTGTGATGGGGACACACAAGACCCAGTGGGAGTTTAGCCTTGGGGATCAGGGAGGGCTTCTCAGAGGAGGGGACGGCAAAGCTGGGGTCTGAAAAAGATAAAGGTCCAGCCAGGTGAAGAAGGGGAACAGGACCAACACATACACCTTGGGTAGGTTGTTGACTGCACAAATGTACCTAACAAGAGGGGCAGCTGGGGACTGCAGAGCTTCCTGGGCTGTGACTGCCCGCAGAGGATGCCTTTTCCTAAATAGTGTAAAGGCACCTTACGGGCTAGTGATGGTCTTGGGGGAGCGTGTTCCCTGCGGAGAGCACTGCCTGTGCAAAGGTCTGGAGGTGGGTGAGACTTGGGTGTTCTGGGACCTGGGAGGAGTCGGACGGCTTCCTCCTCAGGTGATGGGGAGTTAGGCAGACGTCGGAGCAGGGCAGGTGTGCGCGGGCACTGAAGTGTTGCTGCTCAGTCCTACAGAGAAGCCAGGCCCCTGCCGCCTGGGCCTTCCTGGAGGCCGTCCGGCTCTACCGGCAGCACCAAGGCCACTTTGGCGATGACGACGTGACCCTGGGCTCAGATGCCGAGGTCAGTGCTTCGCGAGGCCGCACCAGGGAGCCCCAAGACGCCTCCCGCCGGCCACGGCGCCCACGCCCCGTCTCCCGCAGGTGCTGACCGCAGTGCTGATGCGGGAGCTGCTGCCCGCGCTGCGGGCCCAGACCCTGCCGGGCCTGCGGGGGGCCGGCCGAACCCGGGCCTGGGCCTGGACCGAGGTGCGCGCGGGGTCACGGAGGGGGGACAGGGACATGCGGGGGGCTGCGTGGGGTGGGGGCGACTGTCGCCTGAAATCTGTCGGCGTCTCTGTCTCTCTGTCCCTCCACCCCTGCCCCCTGGCCCGTGTGGGGTCCCCTCGGCGGGTCCGGGCAGCTCCTGGACGCCGTCCACGCCGCCGTCCTGGCCAGGGCCTCCGCGGGGCTCCGTGCCTTCCAGCCCGAAAAGGACGAGCTGCTCGCGGCCCTGGAGAGGACGATCCGTCCCGACGTGGACCAGATGCTGCGGCTGCGGGCGCGCGTGGCGGGGAGGCTGCGGGGTGAGGCCCGGGGGCGGGGCCTGGCCGGAGGGGCGGGGCCGGGAGCCTGAGAGGAAGAAGGGGCACAGGGCGGTGTCAGGGGCGCGGCCGAGAGTCAGAGACCTGAAGACCCGGCCGGGCACGAGGGCGGGGCCTAAGAGGAGAATGGGCGTGGCCTTGAGGCTGAGGTTCGAGGGGGCGAGGCCAGGGCGGGGTCAAGACGGGGGGCTGGGCCGGAGCAGGGGCGGCCCAGAGACGAAGCGGAGAGCCCGCCGCGGGAGAGGGGCGCAGGCACTGCAGTGACAGCCGTGACCTGGGTGGTCAGAATTGTCCGGGTCAGACGGCAGCAGTGGCTCCCACTCAGCTCAGTAACAAAGAGAACCGGATTGGAATCCGGCCTCTGCCTCTCCGGCCTGCGCCTTCGAGCTAGTCCCAAGCGCGCTCCAAGCCTGTTTCCTCATGTGTAAAACGAGGCAGAAGAGGGTGGCCAGAGTCTGCGCTCCCGTCCACGTCACCCTGCTGAGCCCATGGTGGCCCCCCCCCCGACCGTGTGCGGAGCCCCTCGCCGAGGAGACCCAGGCCCCTGTCTTTCACTCCCAGCCGAAGTCCAGGGCCCCCTGGAGTCGTGCCTGCGCGGGAAGGTGGCCGTGCAGCTGCCCCGGATCACGCGGACGCTGGTGAGCACCGTGGAAGCCGCACTGGTGGCAGTGCAGACCCTCCTAGCCCGGGGCGTGGACCGCCTGTCCCGCCACCTGCGTGGGAGCTCCTCGGGCGCGCAGCTGCGCAAGGAGGTGAGCACCAGTGGGTGGGGCGTCGTTGGCAATGGGCAATGTGTAAACTTTGCAGAAGGGTTCCGTGAACCTTGCCTCTTTCTTGTTTGAAAACCTTCTCTGAACTTTGTTCTAGGCTGCTTTTTACTCGTTGTGGACCACCGTGCTGTATGGTCATTGGGTCACAGTTCAAAACATGAGGGGAAGGAGTAAGATGGCAAGAGTAGCATTTTAGGAACATCAGTCTGGAGTCAACTTCTCCCCAAACCCCTTCTCCTCCCATGTTTGTCCAGAGCTCAGCCTCATGCCCTGAGCCAGAGAATTCTACTCCATGCAGGTCAGCTTAGGTCTTCTGATGTTAAATGAGCACCTACTACGTGCCAGGAAACTTTCAATTCACTAAGCCTCCGTTTCATAATCACCTCCTCCGGGAACTTTCCCTGGTCCCTCTGCATCCACAGCTGCCTGTGCTTCCCTCCTCACAGAAACAACCAGAAGCCCCGTGGTTGTTTGTCTAGTCTACCTCCCCCAACTTTTCTGTGAGCTCCTTGAAGCCTGGACTACTCTGTTTCTGCAGCCCTGGGGCCCAGCACAGGGAGGGCAGCAGGCGGTGGGTGTAGGTGCAACAAGGGCTGAGTGTGCCCATTTCCCTTCAGTCACACCAGCACTGCATGTTATCATTTTTTTTCACGTTTTACCATTTTAGGTCCTTCACGTTGTACCTCACTGTTACTTTCTATGCATGTTTTGGTGACAACCGAGGTGGAATGTGTTTCCATTGCTGCTTCTCCTTTGATGAATGGGCTGGGGAAACCTTGGCCCTGCGTTTCCATCAGCTGATGGTGTTTTTCTCACCTGGCTGCTATTTGAGCCCAGGTTTACGCATTTGGTGAGATGCCGTGGGACCCAGAGCTGATGCAGATCTGCTACCAAGAGGCCGAGCAGAGTCGGGGGTGCCTGGGGCGGCTGGTGGCGCCATTTGGCTTCTTGGGGACTCAAAGCCTGGTGTTTGGGGCCCAGGATCTCGCACAGCAGGTGAGGGGCAATGGGAGGCTGGCAGGAGGCCAGGCCAGAACAGCAGCCTGTACTGAGTAGGGGCCAGGTGTGTGCCAGGGAGACCATGATGGCCCAGACAGCCTGGCCTTGCCAGGCCACCAGCGTCATGCGGACAGGAACCCATGGCCAGGCAGTGACCACACCGGGGGTACAGGGTTGTGCTTGGGATGCACAAGTGCTGTGGGAGCCCCGAGGAGGCCCTGGCCCATCTCCAGGGTTGGAAAGGCTTCCAGGAGGAGGGGCCTTCCAAGCTGGGGCAGCAGTGGGAGGAATGGGGGTGGGACATGTCCTGGGTGGAGGGAAGAGTGTGGGTAAGCACTGGGAGGTGAGAGAGCTTGTCTGCATTTGGGGAAAATGAAGCGATTTAGAGACATCGGGTTGTAGGTTTCAAGGGAGGGCAGAAGGGTGGGAGACATGCCAGTGAGGTGGGTCAGGGCCTTGAGTGTGGGGCTAAGGAGCCGGGCTCTGTCCCAAGGGCAATGGGGATCCACAGCAGGTGTGTGAGCAGGGGAGAAGCATGACCAGACTCGAGGTTTGGGAAGCCCCGTCTGCGTGGGGAGCAGGGGCTGTGGGGGCAGGAGTGGGGGAGGCAGGGAGGAGACCTGAACCAGGATGGGTGCTGTTAGTGGAGAGAAGCAGGGTGTGTTTTGAAGGTCCCTTCTGGACCTGCTGATGGACATGGCGAGTGAAGGAGACAGAGATTGAGATGACCCGCTACTGCCTGGCACAGTTGTTCAATTTGTACACTGCACAAGATCACTCAGCTGCGGAGGCTAAACTCTGGCGGACTGTCTATTTCCCAGGCTGGGCACCCTGGCACCATCCTCCAAAGCGGAGGGCACTTTCTGCCTGTTTGCATATAGGTCCCTACTGACTGGATGACCCCCAGGTCCTGAGAGGAGAGGGGTGCTGTTTCTTGAGATAAGGAGGAGGTTGGGGGAAGTGGCAGGTTGGGGACAGGCTGGATGCTGAGAAGGGGTCAGCAGGCAGGTGCAAGGCCCAGAATGTCAGAGCACGGATTCGCGAGGTCATCCCAACTCCTCCTCCCGCAGCTCATGGCCGACGCTGTGGCCACCTTCCTGCAGCTGGCCGACCAGTGTCTGACCACGGCGTTGGACTGCGACCAGGCCGCCCGGCAGCTGGAGAAAGTCCGGGCGCGCGTGCTGAAGGTGAGGTCGGGGGAGGGCGCGGCCGTGTGCCCGCGCCCCGCCGGCCGCTGGACCGCCCCGTGTGTCCTGCAGAAGTTCCGGTCGGACAGCGGCTCGGCGCGGAGGAGGCGTGTCCGCGGGTGGCTGCTCGGCATCTTCTTGCCCTTCGTGCTGAGCCAGCTGGAGCAGCGCCGCCGAGTGGTGAGCCGGGGGACAGGCGGGCGGGGCGCGCTCTCCCGCCCAGAGCTACTGCGACAGTTGAGCCCTGGGTGGGCCGGCTGGCTTTCCCGGGCTGCCCCAGCGCCCTCTCTTCTCCCAGGACGGCTTTCGGCCATCTGAGGGTGGGGTCCGGGGCGCCACATGTCAGCAGGCGCCGCAGCCTGAGAGACAGGGGCTGGGGGTGTGCCCGCGCGTGCGTGTGTGCGCATCCGTGTGTGTGTGTCGCGCGTGCCAGGCGGACAGAGGGCTGGGAGGCCCTCCTGGGAAGACGACCCTGGAAAAGCGGCGGCTACAGGCCGATCCGTGCCGGAGGGCGCCCCGGTAGGTCGGGCCTGGTGACCTGGAGGCGGAGTGCCGGCGCAGCGGGGCTGAGCCAGGGTCCTGCCCACGCGGGCGAAGGGCACCAGGCAGGGGTCTGCCCAGGCACTAGAGACCCTCTCGACGCAGCACTGCTCCTGCTGAGGTGCGACATGCTTGTCGCTGCACCCCTCGCAACAGCCCCAGGGAGTACGGGTCAAGGAGTCCATCTAAAAGACTAGGGCCTGAGGCCCTCAGCTAATCAGGGTCAGGGCTGGGGCTCAAGCCGAGTCGCAGCCCACCCAGGCCAGGCCCTCCCCACCTCTGTGACAGGAGCTGCCTGCGTTCGAAGCAGACGTCCTTGCCATGGGCAGCCCAGCCCTGACCATCGAAGGCATCTATGAAGACGTCATCCGGGGGGTCCTGTCGCAGAGGATTGATGGAGGTGCGCCCAACACCCCCCCTCAAGGAAGCCAGGTGGTCCCCGGCTGAGTACTGAACCCTGCTGGGGTCTCTGTCCCCTCTCACTTCCTGCGAACACTAGCCCCCCTGGCCTGAGGGTCAGGACTGGGACAGATAGCCACTGCTTGGGGCAGCCTGGAGGTGCAGTGAGGGGGAGCTACCCGAAGGAGGGGCCTTGCAGCAAGGCTGTGAGGGATGTGTAGGAGTTCTCAGGATGCGACGAAGGAGACAAAATGCAAAAACTGGGGATAGACATTCACATTTATTCATTCAACAACCACTCCCTGTTTTTCTCTGGGCTGGCATTAAGGTCCTGAGAGTTCTTGGACTTGGGCTAGGCCTCTCAGGATCTCCTGGGCTGGGAAGCGACTCTCTCTTCTTGCTCCTACCTTGTCAGTTCGCTCGTGACCCAGCGCCTGTGCCTGCTGAGACACATGCACTAACAGGGTGAGCAGCGTGGGATGGCGATTCAGCGGGCGTCAGGGCATCCTTGGGGCCAACACAGAGGGTATGAGGGGAACAGGAGAGGAGGCTGGAGGCTTCTGGGGCAGACGTGCAGGGCTGTGGATGACAGGCAGAGGAGTTTAGACTTTATTGGGTAGGCGATAGGGAGCCATGGAAGGTGTGTGAGCAGAGGATAACCGTGGCCAAACTGGAATTGATGGAGGAGGCTGAGAGCACGGTCCTGGGAGCAAGGATGAGCTCCAGCAGGGGCAGGTGCCAAGAGGACAGAGCCAGGCGGGAGGGTGAGGCAGGAGCTGGAGGTACCGGGAGGTGTTGAGCTGGATGTCAGTGCATGCACAGGAGCGGGCCACAACCGGGGATGCTGTGCAGAGAGAGGAGACACTCCACAAAGAGCCTCTATCTGAAGGACACCGAGAGTAAGAAGGGCTGTGGAAGGAGCGCTTAGAGAGGTGGGAGGAACCCAGAGGCGGTTCTGGGAGCCAGGAAGTAAGGATGAGGATGCCTCCTTGGTTTGTGGGCATTCAAATAAAAACAACCAAGCTCCCTTAGGAAAGGGGACATTTTAAATGGGAAAAGGCTGTTTTCTGATTGAAAAGAAAAATCCAGAAACAGGTAAGCTCAGAGAGTACCCGTTCCTAGAGGTTTTACACGTCCTTAGGGGGTGCCATCCTCAATTGATTTGTGGCGTCTCCGTGGAGCACAGTGGAGGGAGGGAGGGCTGGCAGTGTCCAGGCTCAGTGACGGTGTGGGGACTGCCTGGCAAGTGGAGCACTTGCCGAGGGTTCCTGGCTGAGACCTTTCCTCCCTCCTTCGCCCTCCCGTGGCCTCTCGGGGAGAATGTGCAGGAGCCGTGGGTGCCGGGGCTTCTCCAAGTGGGCTTCGTCTCTTGTTTCAGAGTTGAAAAAGGCCCTCGGTGCCGCCGATGTGTCCTCTACTCTGGATGGCTGCTCAGAGGCCCCATGGGACCAGGTGGGAGCAGGTGAGGACATCACAGGTTGTTGGAGCATGCCAGTGAGTGCTGGGGCTGGGAGCCTGCACAGGGTCTCCAGGATGGTCGAGAGTGTGGGTTCCTGGATGGAACAGCATGCACCTGGTCTCCTGATGCGGCTTGGCTGGCCATGCTCATGGTGAACGAGGGCAATGGGGAGCCACGGAGTGTGCCTGAGCCACAAAGGGAACCTCTGACATGCACATGAATTGGCGGCCCATCTTCTCTGGCCAGGACTCAGTAGGGCTTCTCCCAGCAGCTACTGGTTCCCAACACTTGAAGGGAAGATTTTGGTGACGGGAAGCTTGGGTTTCCTGTGAGCGGGGCCTGGGGCAGGGGCAGCCGGGACTCTTACTGTAGGACCCTAAAGCAAGCTCCTTGTCGGAAAAGTAAATGTGTGTAGGGCTGAGGCCGACACTGCTGGTGGTACAGGGACCCTCCGCTCCAGCCCTGAGACGGGCATGTTTTATGGGGGCTTCCCTGAAATGGGGCAGAAGGCACCTGGTCCAGTAGAAGCAGACGAGTGTGCAGGATGTCTCTCATCTAGGTGCTCAGAACCCAGGGCAGATGCTGGGATCCTGGAACAGCTGCCAGCTCAGCCCCTTTGGGTATCGCTGCTGTGAGAGCCTTGTGAATCCACCCAGCTAAGCAGCACCCACATTCTTCACCCACAGAAACTCTGAGATAAAACGTGTATTGTTTTCAGCAGCTAACTTGGGGGTTATTTGTTATGCAGCAGGAGCTAACTGATACTCTCCCCAGCCGATTGCAGGCGGCCCATTTCCCCACAGGCTGCACAGGCTCTCAGCTGACTGGGGATTTCTCGTGTCTTCTGGGTGAAGATGGTGTCTTGGCATCATTTTAATGAGCATGTCTTAGTGGGGATGGTTGAGAGTCTTTCTGTGAGCTTGGAAGCTTCTCTGTGAACCTCTCCCTCTCCTTGGCCCACTGATCTTCTGGGTGCCTATAAACTTCTATCAAGTTTTTGTTGCTAAGCTTCCATTTTCTGAGCATTTGTTATGGGCCAGGCATTTGACATATCCGAGGTTTTGATCTCCTTATGACACTTTCCATTTTACAGATGAGGAAACCGAGGCTCAGAGAGGGACTTGCTCCAGGCAGCCAGGCCCCGGAGCTGAGGTCCAGCCACTCTGCCTGCCACCTGCTCCAGAGACATTCCGGAGCTGAATCTTTGCCACATTCGTCCTCGTTCCCAGGGGAGAAACGCCTACTAGTAGAGTTTCTGAGTTGAACCATGCGCCCCATTGCAAGGCTTTTGTAACCCCCACGCCTCCCCCTCACTGCTCTCCAAAAAAGCCAGGCCTTTCCTCACTGCCACCAGCAGCATTGGTGCATCGTCTCCATGTCCTGTCCAAACTCTAGCAATTTTCATCAAAGAAAAGCTGTCAATTTGATAGACACACACACAAATTTCACTGTTTTATTTTTAATTTCTTTGATGACTAAATTGAACCTAAAAACATGTTTATTGGCCATTTATATGTTTGTGGGTTTTGTTTTAGTTCTCATATTGCCTCTTCATAGGTTTTACCTGCTTTTCTCTTCAGGAGATTTTATCTGTTTCTTATTGATCTCTAATAGCTCTTTGTATAAGGATATTAACGCTTCATTACGCAGGCTCTAGATATTTTTCTCAGCTTTCTGTGGGCCTTTCGGGTTTGTTTACTTGCTCCAGATCTTAACTTGGCATCAAGTTTCCCAGCTGAGAGTAGAGCTTTCACTGACTCCCTCTGCTTGCCAGAAAGCTCATCTTTCCACTGGAGGTTGGCAGTTTCTCCACGTAACAAGCCTTCCAGCTGCTTCCGGAGTAGGTTCCGGGAGGGATTTCCCCAATGTTCTTCTCGTTTGGCTTTCAGAGGGGACATGCACAGCCCATGGAGATGGTTTCCTCCCATTCTGCCCTGGAGTGGTCAGCCTCCCCCAAGAGAATGAGATTTTCCTCACCTTTCCTGACTTTCATCCTACTGTTCCATGCACACATTGAGGACACGCTACCTGTGCCCTGAATTCTACTCAATATCGAGCCTCCTCCCACCACTCATGTTAGCAATGTACATCTGAGCATCATTCTTAAAACTTAGTTTCTAAGAATGACAGAAAAACGATCAATCAGAAACTACACGGAAGTACTGGGAAACAATCCCCTGGTAGCATTTCTATGGCGACGCCCACCCTGTCTCTGGAGGGCGTGCTCCGCACTACAAGCTTCATCCGGCTCCACCTTCACACCAGCCCTGCTCGGCGGGTTATGACCGCATTTTACAGACAGAGGAATTGAGGCTCAAACAGCGAGCCCAGGCGGGGGCTGGATCTGAAGCCAGGTCTGGAGACTCCGGGGCCCGCGTGCTTAACACCCAGCCATCCCCGAGGACATCTCAGCGGGGTCGGGAACCAGGACACTAAAACCCATGTTGCAGCCAAGGAAACTGAGGCTCAGATCTTTCAAGTCCCGAACTAGGTCTTAACTACCCAGGTCCGCCTGCTGGACACAGCCCAGGTCTTACACACATGGAAGTTGGGCGGCGAATCGGGGGGGGGGGGGGCCCCGCGAGAGCAGTCGCCCGGAGGCAGGGCACATTCTGAGCCCTGAGACCTTTAAGGCACGGACCCGCGTCCCGTTGAAGGGTTCCGAGCGCTCTGTGCCTTTAAGGCCGTCCGGAGGCGGGCCCTGACGGCTGGTTCCTGTCAGGCGTTCTCCTCCCCTTTAAGGCTCACGGCAGGGGCGGGGCCCCGACAGCCCCTTTAAGGCGCGGTCCGCGCCAGCCGGCAGAAAAGGCTGCTTAAAGGCGACGCGTGGCGCGATGGCGGCGTCCCTACGCTCGTGCCGGCGGCGCTGGCGGCCGCTCGCGGCGTCGCTGCTGCTGCTGCTGCTGGCGCTGCCGCCGCTGGGGGGCCCGCCGGGCGCCGCCGCCTACTTCCCCGAGGAGCGCTGGAGCCCCGAGTCGCCGCTGCAGGCGCCGCGCGTGCTCATCGCGCTGCTGGCGCGCAACGCGGCCCACGCGCTGCCCGCCACCCTGGGCGCCATCGAGCGGCTGCGGCACCCGCGGGAGCGCACGGCGCTGTGGTGAGCCCGCCGCCCCGGCCCGCGCCCTGCCAGCCCTCCGCCGTCCGCCGCCGCCGCCCCCCGGCCCGCGCCCTGCCCACCGCCCGCCGCCCGCCGCCGCCCCGGCCGCGCCCTGCCCGCCGCCCCGGCCCTTTCGGCTGTGTCGGCCGCTGCCCTGCTGGCTGGCGCCTGCCCCCTGCGGAGCACACACAGCTCCAAAGAAGGGGCGCCTGAGCGCCCTGGGGCCTTGCCTCGGCCGCTGTCTGCTTCCCCTAACTAAAAGTCTTTCTGCCCTTGCTGCCGCCTTGGTCCCCTGCCCCGTGACCCCAGTGGGCCTGGATCCGAGGGGGTAACTGGGTCCTTCCTGGAAGGAGGATGGGGCAGAGCCATGAACATGTCCGATGGATGACTTCCCACCTCCTGCCTCAGTTTCCTCATCTGGAAAATGGGGGTATTAATGTAACTCCAGTTGGTTTGTCTCTGAAGATTAACCAGTTAACGGGTGTGAAGCCCTTGTGTCTGGCATCACGGACTTGGTGCCGTGGTTATTATTACTGTCATCACTGCTGTCCTTGTCGACTTAGTAACAATTCATTTGGGAGAATAGCTCTTGGCTCCATGGTCAAACTAGACTCCCAAATGTCCCTCTTCCCTCTTCCTGAGATTCCTCAGCTTGGATAATCTAAGTACACAGTTGGTGCTTAAGAAATGTTTGTTGAATGAATGAATGATCACAGCCTACTATAAGGTGGTGTTGCTCATAGGAGAGAATTGAGAAAGGTGGGGCAGAGGTGTATGATATTTATGTATTTTTATTAAATCGCATGTACTTAGTGCCGAACTTGGTTGTAAGAGCCTAGATGCTTAGTGGTACTAATAGTGTCTAATGTGTTTTTCCGAAATTAGCTTGTTTAATTCCCTCTGCCTGTGCCGATGGAGTGAAGTGGGCCTTGCTCTCACCCCAGGGAACAGATGAGGGAACAGGCACGGGGAGGGGAAGCATCTTGCCCAGGGTTGTGTAGCTGATGGCGGCTGAGCCAGGTTCGGAGCCCACGTTGCATGGCGGCTGCCCCTTCTGGCCTCGGCGGCCGAGCCGGGTTCAGAGCCCAGGTTGCATGGCGGCTGCCCCTTCTGGCCTCAGTCTCCCCAACCTTGCTCACTGTCCCCCTCCACCGACAGGGTGGCCACAGACCACAACTCAGACAACACGTCAGCTGTGCTGCGGGAGTGGCTCGTGGCCGTGAAGAGTCTGTACCATTCTGTGGAGTGGCGGCCGGCGGAGGAGCCCAGGTGAGTGCCCAGTGGGACTGGCTACACCCCACCTCCCCCGCCACGACTGCCTGTGGTTCTGGGCAGAACCCCAGCTCGCAGCCCAGGGCTCTGCAGTCCTTGTTGCCACCTGGCTCCTGTCACCTCCCTCAGCTTCACCAGCGGCCGTGATCCCCTTCCAGACTGTTGGCCCGGGCCTGCCCTCCACCTGGAGTTCCCTCTCCTGGTCTTTCTGGTGGCCACCCAGTGCTGCCTCCGCACCGGCTCTGCCGCCAGCTTCCCCGGGAGACCCCAGGCAGTGCCCACCGGGCTCCTTTCACTCTGTCTGGGTTTATTCCTGTCCCCCTCGCTGCCCCGACCAGCTGCTGAGTCCGGGAAGACAGGCCCCAGAGTTTCTCCTCTCCCCTGGCTCCCCGTGCCCCTCAGGTGGCCTGGAGTGGCCTTTGCGGCCCCTTGCTCCCCCTCGTTCTGATTGCTGAGCCTTCTCTCCACCCTACAGATTGCCTCGGGCTCTCCTACCTTTGGGCAGGAAGCACTGGGGACCTCTGTACCTTCGTACCCCTGCCGGGACACCCCCTCCTCCTGTTGTCTCCTCTTGCTCCTTCCCAGCCTTCAGATCCAGCTTACAGATCCCCTCCTCCAGGAAGCCCCCTCTGACACCCCCCCATCACGGCTGCCTCTCCGCAGGTCCTACCCAGACGAGGAGGGCCCCAAGCACTGGTCCGACTCCCGCTACGAGCATGTCATGAAGCTGCGCCAGGCGGCCCTGAAGTCGGCCCGGGACATGTGGGCTGATTACATCCTGGTGAGTTCCGGGGCTGGAGGCCTGCGGTGCCCGAGGGAAGGCCGGGCGGCAGGACATAGGGAGCATCCTTGACCCCATTTTACAGAGGGGTAGACTGAGGCTCTGAGAGGGGAGGGAGCTGTCAGAGGTGACACAGCTGGCTGCTGGAGGGCTGCTGGGCTGCCTGGGTTCTCGGTCATCAGGTTGTGTCCCCAGTCACCTGGGGGTCGGACACTTGTGTCATCTCCACCTTTGTCGCTGTCCCTGCCTGTCCCACGATGTCGCCCCTTGGGTCACTCGGAGACGTTGGAGGAGGGGTCGGGTGAGGGCATCGGAGGCGAACTGCTGAGGCCTGACTTTCGCTTCCTCCCCGGGCTGGCGCTGCCTCTGGGAGGAGGGGACGTCGAGGCTTGAGCGCAGTAGTGTTGGGCTGCGTGCCCGCGGGCCTTCTGCGAGCCCCTCAGCCCGTGACCCCTCCACCCCCCGTGGACGTCTCCCTCGTGCGGGTGGGGAGGGCAGTGTCGCGGCTGCTCCCGTGGAGGTTGAACGCAGTAACGCCAGCCTGGCAGCGCCAGGCCCCGAACTCGCGTCTGCGCCTCCTTTATCTGTCAGTCAGCATACATCTGCAGGTCCTTCCCGGGGCCCTCCTGCTGTGGGACCTGGGGACACGGTGAGGGCCAGCACAGGCTGAGCCCCGCCTCCGAGTGCCCCAGGGAAGGTGGCGTGACCAGAAAGCCAGCAGAACTGAGTGAGGAAGTAGCGGAAGGCAGCTGGCGCCAGGAGGAGACTATAGAAAGGCAGCTGATGGCTTATCAGTGTCCTGGGGCCGCCGTGACAAGTACCACACACGGGGGCTTGAAACGGGGGCTTGAAACACGGGCAGTTCATTCTGGAGGCTGGAAGTGTGAAGCACACATGTCGCAGGGCTCCCTCCAGAGGCTCTGCGGGGTCCTTCCTGGCCTCCTCCAGCTTCTAGGGACTCAGGCGCCCTTGGCTTGTGGGCACGTCACCCAGGCTCTGCTCTGGTCACACGGCTCCTCTCTGTGTCTCTTCTGCTCTTCTGAGGTCACCGGTCATTGGGTTCAAGGCCCACCCTAGTCCAGCGTGACCACATCTTAACTTAGGTCTTCGTGACGTTTGCAAAGACTTATTTCCAAATGAGGTCACAGCCATAGGCTCCCGGGGTCAGCACTTCAGCGTATCTTCTTGGGGGACCACCATTCAGCCCACGACAGCTGGCATAACCAGGCCGGGGTGTTGAGTGAGCAGACTGGGGGTGCCTCCATTAGCAGGGGACCCTGGCAGAGACCTGAAGGAGCAAAAGAGCCTTGGGGGTGCTGGGGGACAGTGTCTGGGGTAGAGGGACGAGCAGGGAGCGACTCG